GGCAATTACAGACCGGTATGTCTAACATCAGTATCGGGCAAATTAGTTGAAACAATAGTAAAGAATAAAATTGTCATACACATAAAAGAACATAAATTGTTGGGCAAAAGTCAACATGGTTTCTCTAAAGGGAAATTATGTCTTTCTAATCTATTAGAGTTCTTTGAAGGGGTCAACAAACATGTGGACAAGGGAGATCCAGTGGACACAGTGTACTTAGATTTCCAGAAAGCCTTTGACAAGGTCCCTCACCAAAGTCTCTTACGTAAATTAAGTTGTCATGGGATAAGAGGTAAGATCCTTTCATGGATTGAGAACTGGTTAAAAGACAGGGAACAAAGGGTAGGAATAAATGGTAAATTTTCAGAATGGAGAGAGGTAACTAGTGGTGTTCCCAAGGGTCAGTCCTAGGACTAATTCTATTCAACTTATTCATAAATGATCTGGAGAAAGGGGTAAACAGTGAGGTGCCAAAGTTTCAGACGATACTAAACTGCTCAAGATAGTTAAAACCAAAGCAGACTGTGAAGAACTTCAAAAAGATCTCACAAAACTAAGTGATTGGGCAACAAAATGGCAAATGTAATTTAATGTAGATAAATGTAAAGTAATGCACATTGGAAAAAATAACCCCAACTATACATACAATATGATGGGGGCTAATTTAGTGACAACTAATCAGGAAAGAGATCTTGGAGTCATCGTGGATAGTTCTCTGAAGACGTCCACACAGTGTGCAGCTGCAGTCAAAAAAGCAAACAGGATGTTGGGGATCATTAAAAAAGGGATAGAGAATAAGATGGAGAATATCTTATTGTCCTTATATAAATCCATGGTACGCCCACATCTTGAATACTGCGTACAGATGTGGTCTCCTCGTCTCAAAAAAGATATACTGGCACGAGAAAAGGTTCAGAGAGGGGCAATTAAAATGATTAGGGATTTGGAACAGGTCCCATATGAGGAGAGATTAAAGAGGCTAGGACTTTTCAGCTTGGAAAAGAGGAGACTAAGGGGGGGTATGATAGAGGTATATAAAATCATGAGTGGTGTGGAGAAAGTGAATAAGGAAAAGTTATTTACTTGTTCCCATAATATAAGAACTAGGGGCCACCAAATGAAATTCATGGGCAGGAGGTTTAAAACAAATAAAAGGAAGTTCTTCTTCACACAGTGCACAGTCAACCTGTGGAACTCCTTGCCTGAGGAGGTTGTGAAGGCTAGGACTATAACAGGGTTTAAAAGAGAACTAGATAAATTCATGGAGGTTAAGTCCATTAATGGCTATTAGCCAGGATGGGTAAGGAATGGTGTCCCTATCCTCTGTTTGTCAGAGGGTGGAGATGGATGGCAGGAAAGAGATCACTTGATCATTACCTGTTAGGTTCACTCCCTCTGGGGCACCTGGCATTGGCCACTGTCGGCAGACAGGATACTGGGCTGGATGGACCTTTGGTCTGACCCAGTATGGTCATTCTTCTGTTCTTATGAGGGGATGAGGGCTCCGGCTGGGGGTGGGGCTGGGGATGAGGATTTTGGGGTGCAGGAGGGGGCTCTGGGCTGGGGCCAAAGGGTTTGGAGTGTGGGAACGGGCTCAGGGCTGGGGCAGGGAGTTGGGGTGTAAGAGGGGGTGTGGGCTGCGGCTGTGGGTGTGGGCTTTGGGGTGGGGCCAGGAGTGAGGGGTTTGGGGTGCAGGAGGGGGCTCTGGACTGGGACAAATGGTTGGGGTGTAAGAGGGGGTCAGAGTGCAGGCTCTGGGGGAGAGTTTGGGTGCGGGAGGGGGTTCAGAGCTGGGGCAGGGGTGTGGGGTGCGGGAGGGGGTGTGGAGTGCGGGCTCCAGGAGGGAGTGTGGGTGCGGGAGGGGATTCTGACCAGGGCTCGAGGGTTGGGGTGTGGGTGGGGGTGCAGGATCTGGGAAGGACTTAGGGTGTGGGACAGGGTTCCAACCTGGGGCAGGGGGTTCAGGGTGCAGGCTCCAGCCAGGTATCACTTACCTTAGGTGGCTCCCGGTCGGCGGTACAGTGGGGCTAAGGTAGGCTCCCTGCCTGCTCTGGCTCCCCGCTGCTCCAGGAAGTGGCCGGCATGTTCGGCCCCGAGGCGGAGGCGCGACCAGACGACTGCACGGTTCCCGGCCAACAGGAGCTGCAGAGCTGGCGCTTGGGGCGGGGTCAGCCTGCGAAGCTTCCCTGGCCATCTTTGCGCTTAGGGTCACAGGGACATGTTGGCCACTTCCAGGAGCTGCGTGGAGCCAGGGCAGGCAGGGAGCCTGCCTTAACCCCACTGCGCCGCTGACCGGACTTTTGATGCCCCAGTCAGTGATGCTGACTGGAGCTGCCAGGGTCCCTTTTCGACTGGCCATTCAGGTCAAAAATGGGGCACCTGGCAACCCTACTAACAGGGCCTCTACAGATTCTGACTCATCTGTATCTTTTATGGAGGGATGTGTGGGTATGAGACCAAGGATCTTAGGGGAACATGCGGCTCAGTCAAAGCCTCCAAATTCCAGTGCTTGAGCGTGAGGGAGGGTTTGAAGGGTCTCTACTGTCTCCTTTTCACTTCCAATATCTTGGGGTGAGGAATGTTTCAGTCGCATTGGTTCCCTGTCCCCAGCTGACAGCTCCTTTTAAAAGTTCTCAGCCAGGACTATACATTGCTATGATTGCCCCTTAGGCCAGTTGGAAAAGCCTTATGGGGTAGTTCCATTTGAATGAGAAGTCAGTGACAAGAAGTTGGAGTAACCTTGGTGTAATCCATTTATTTACTGAAATATACGCAAAGTCCTGTTTCTTTGAACAGCAGAGGAATATACAGCAGACCAGCTTTTGCAGAAATTCTAAGCTAGACATTCCAGCCTGGTACCCAAGAAGCCTCTGTTTTCTTATGGTGTACCACAAACAGGGCCGGCTCTAGGTTTTTTGCCGCCCCAAGCAAAAAACTTTTTGGCTGCCCTCACCCCGGCCCTGGGCTCCCCCCTGCACCCCGTTGCTGCCCCAGTCCTGGGGCATGCTGAGTATAGTGACCCAATTTTACCAGCATTTCTGAAAGGATTTTATAAAACACCTACCTTTATTTTGTATCTGAATACTGAGATTGCATATTAACCAGAATGCATTGTGCAAGGGCTAGAGTACCAACTTTAGTTCATGATTTGCTATGAAATTCTCTTTCCAACAGTAAAACTTCATGTCAGGCACAGGTCCCTTATTCATGTGACTGCATGGTACTCTATCTAAGGTACTTATATGGCCTCCATCAACATTATATCGGAGTGCTTCACAATCTTTAATAATTTTATCCTCACAACCCTGTGAGGTAGGGAAATGCATTTAACAGATGAGGAACTGAGGCAGAGAGACTAGGTGTTGTGCCCAAGATCACACAGGAAGTCTGTGACAGAGCAATGAATTGAACCTAGGTCTCTCAAATTCCAGGCCAGTACCCTAACTACCCTAAACCATCCTTCCTGTCTTACTCAGCTACATAATGGGCCATGTTTGAAAAACCTAAATGATTCCATATGGAGGGCCCCTACCATGGTCCCATTAAATTGGGAGTTTTGCTGTTGACTTCCTGGGGACCACCAGAGGGCCCAACAGAGCAAACTCTCTCAGCTGCTAGTGTCTTTGTGAGTTCCTAGGAAAGCATTAAGAGTGAAATAAATCAATGGCAAAGCTTGCTTTGAAAGGACCGGGATTCCACCCTACATATTTAGTAGGCAAAGATATTGGGCCTGATTCTCCTGCCACTGACACGAGTTTAAAACTAGTGTAATTCCACTGACTTCAGTAGAAGCATTCCTGATTACACCAGGGTGAGAGGAGAGTCAGCTCCATTACATTTATTCTAAAGTTATAGTACATTGGGGAGCTGAACTGCATTCAGTTTTGCAATTTGTGGCTTGCACTCAGACCTAGAGTCTAATCTCATATCCCTTTAATCTTACAGAGTCATATTTTATCATTTTTATTACTTCTTAGTTGTATTGCAGCAACAGCTAAAGGCATCACTCAGGAGCAGGGCCCATTTGTGCCAGGCTCTGTACAAACACATAGAAAGACACAGCCTTTGCCCTGACACACTTGCAATCTAATCAAGGGCAAGATGCAACAAGTGGCTGTGAAAAATAACTGGAAGAAGAGGGGAGGGAGGATGAGAGCAGTATGCTTCAGCTAGAGTGCCTTTGCAATTTGTTGTTGTAATAGGGGAAGTACTTGACATATTTTATACTTAATAATACCCCAATAAAAATAGAAAAAAAATTAAGTCACATATTAAGCCTGAAGCCATACTACTGACATACACACAACTTCCACTGACTTCTGGGAGAGCTACACATGTGTAAAGAACTATAGAATCAGGTACATTACATAGAGCTAGATTTTAATGCTGTAATACAAGTATTGTGAATAGAGAAAATGTGTTCTATGTAAAAACAATGAGGAGTCCTTGTGGCATCTTAGAGACTAACAAATTTATTTGGGCATAAGCTTTCATGGGCTAGAACCCACTTCATCGGGTTCTAGCCCACGAAAGCTTATGCCCAAATAAATGTGTTAGTCTCTAAGGTGCCACAAGGACTCCTCGTTGTTTTTGCTGATATAGACTAACACGACTACCACTCTGAAACCTGTGTTCTATGTGTTTTTATTTAATTGTACATAATACATTTAAATCACATCCATATATCTAGAATTACATTGAAAAGCAGCCTTGCTTAACATTCTTAAAACACACAATTGTGTTTTCTGCTATTATGGAAGACATTCTGGGTTGTTTTTTTCCCCTGATTCCACTTCCTATTTTCCAGATGTGTAATGATTGAATCAGGAGCAAAGAGAGATATGTTTAAATTTCATCTCTCTAATTTCTATGATCAATTTTCTACTTTTTGCCCTAGAGCATGTAACATGCAGATGTTAGGCATTCTGAGGTTTCTTTTTGTATAGAACCATAAAAGTACTTTTTTTCATTTTGAAATGATTCCTCCCCTCTCACCCAAGGAGTACCAATCTGACCATGAAGGTTGGTGTGATTAACACCCATCACTCCTATATAAATGTTCCCAGGCCGGCAGTACAGGATGCTGATGTGGGCGTAGGAAGGATAGAGAATGGGAACAGGAGGTAAGTCAAGTACACTAAGTAGGTCAAATTCTGCTTTTGGGATTTTTTAATTTTTATTAGTTTGCATGGGAGTGACGGGGATAGGTGTTTGTCCCTGTCTTGGTGTCTTCTCTCTTCCATTGATAAGCAGTTTAGCTTTTAACCTACCCGTGATACATTGCCCATTGTAATTAATTAGGATAAGGTAAAATGTGACTATATTTGTAAGTCAAATGATTTGGCTTCCTTAAAAATGAGTTTAGCTTGTCAAAAAATACACTCAAATAGTCATTACCAAGTTTTCACCATCCAGCAAAGTGGCTCATGCCTTGAGTTGGGACAATACTGCAAAAAGTACAGTTGTGAGTACATCCCACTTTGCTGGCATTCACAACCCTTTTTATCTGATTATTTGTAGACATTCAACTGAGCCACTTTTTATTCACAAGAAAGTCCACTGAAAGCTAAGCAAGATAAATACTATTCTGAATAAATATTTGTGAGCATTAAACACTGGGAAGACCATTTTTTGCAGAGAACCACCACACAGTTACAAACGCTTGTAGATAATTTTACACACAGAAAAGGGGATTTTTTTAAGGTTTCTACAGCTTAGTTCATCAAAGCAGGGAACTGAAATAATATCCTGTGACTCAGATCATATAGCAAAAAAAGTGAATTAACTTTTTATTCTGACTGCTCATAGGCTAATACTTTCATATTTGGCTGTCCAAATTTAGACTCCTCAATCCATGTTTTGGCTTCTAAATAAAAATTATTCTTATATTCAGAGGTGCTGAACACCCAGAGCTCCCACTGAAGTTAAATTGTAGCCTATGGTTTGTTTACAAGCTGGTCACGATGGCCACATTTTTCAAACCTGAGTGCCTAAAGTCAAGCATCTAAGTTTAGACAATTAAATAAAAGTGGCCTGATGAGCACCTGCAGCCAATCCAGTCCTATCGATTTCAGTGGGAGTTACAGGTGTTCAGCACAAAATTTTGCATGCAAGTTTTGCTTGAGGAATATCTAACTAGACAATTTGCATGTACAAGTGAACATCTGGTGTATCTGCAATTTTGGAGGCTGGTTTAAAAAACAGGTGAATTTTAAAGTTAAATGAAAAGTGTGCTAAACCCAGAAATGTGTGCTCAGAGCTGCTATTAACAGGCTGTAGGGGGCATTCATCAGACATGTTAAATTAATTTGGTAAAACTGCTATTCCCTCTGAAATCCACTTTCTAGTTCACTAAAGAATGCACCATGAATTGCATAAGACCATCCTATAACCAAGCAGTGTACACTGATATAGGGGTACATTTTCCTCTTGATGTAAATATGTAACTTAATCCCTAACCCTGCAAAGATTTTGTGTGCGCTTAACTTTACACATGTGGGTAGTCCCACTGACTTTCCAAGGTTGGGACCTTAGATTTGTACATTTCTGCAAGATCAGGGACTATGTGGGGGACAGGTACTGAAAGTTCTTCTATGTTTTGTAGCTTTCCCAGCACATTCTCAATGCTTAACAAATAACAAAAGTCCATACCAAGAAATAATGTTAATGCAGCTTTAAGGTTTAGAGATAAAACACATAAGTAAATCATGCCTGGGGACCACTATTTATGAATTAGCAAAAACAACAAGGAGTCCTTGTGGCACCTTAGAGACTAACAAATTTATTTGGGCATAAGCTTTTGTGGGATAAAATCCACTTCATCAGATGCATGTACAGTAAGCAGTATATATATGAAAAGATGGAAGTTGCCTTACCAAGTGGGGGGGCCAATGCTAACAAGGCCAATTCAATTAAGGTGGAAGTGGCATATTCTCAACAGTTGATTACTTTTGTAGTGCTAATGAGGTCAATGCAATCAAGGTGGATGTCACCCATTTCCAACAGTTGACAAAAAGGTGTGAGTATCAGCAGAGGGAATATTACTACAAAAAACTCCCATCTTTTCATATATATACTGCTTACTGTATTTTTCACTACATGCATCTGATGGAGTGGGTTTTAGCTTATGCCCACAAAAGCTTATGCCCAAATAAATTTGTTAGTCTCTAAGATACCACAAGGACCCCTTGTTGTTTTTGGTGATACAGACTAACACAGCTACCACTCTGAAACCTATTTATGAATTGTTGCTGTAAGTACAATAGATAATTTCTTCATTGTACATACTGTTTAATTATAGGTCTCTGGCTGAAGCGTATGATAGTTCATCCATATTACAAACACAGGAGCATGGGGACAGCTGCAGTGGTTATTCTTCCACAAACAACTCACAGGCACTGAAAAGAGTGCTACAGAGGTGAGATAAATCCCAGGAATCCATGTTTAGCACAGTGTGCCTACATATTTATGTGTTTACCTATCCATGTATCCATTTATTTACACAAGTTTAGTGGAGATATTTTGGTAATCTTTCTCATGTCTAAAATGTCTATTTTAAGGGGACATTCTTGAGTTTACAATTAAAACTTGACATATATACATAATCTAAGCAACTGAGAAACTCTCAGCAATAATCACTAGTTATATGAAGTCTATGGCATGGTGCCAAATTTGTTTCTGGTAATTAATTACACCAATAATTATTGCATTAGCACCTAGAATCCCCAACCCAGATCAGGGCCTCATCGCATGAGGCACCGTACATACACATCATTAGTAAGAAACAATCCCTGCCCCAAAGAGTCTCTTCACCTTTGTTTTTTCTCATCAATTGGGGTTGGCAGCTCTTGTTCTTTGTTTCCAAACATTTCTGTCAAGTATGTCTTCCAAGCTGACACCAACCTTCTTCATATCCTCCTTCAGCATCTCAAACCACCTTTTTCAGGGTCTTCCTCATGGTCTCTGTCCCATCACTAATAGCTCTTCTACTCTCTGGTCAACATATCCCACATCTCTACCCCCAAAAGAGTATACAATCTAAAGACAAGACAGACAAAGTTTGGTAGAAAGTTGGGGACCAGAGAGATTAAGTGACTCACTCAAACTCACAAAGTCAGTCCGTGATCGCACTGGAAATTGAACTCCTACTTATTTTGTCCCAAGATTTGGGGCAGGGACTGTCTTTCTTGTTTGTACAGTGCTTAGCACACTGTGGTCCTGCACTATGATTAGGGCACCTAGGTGCTACTGCAATACAAACAGTAAAATATAATAAAATAAAATAATAATAAATAATAATAATAATAATAATAATTAATAATGCAGTACCTTAAGCACAAGACCATCCTTCCTCTCTCTAATAAGGAGAGTTGCTTCGGGGAGGATTTTGGCTTGTGATTTTTAAATATTTTGTTTACAGCAGAATCAGCCAGTCAACAAAGGGAGCACTAGTTAACCAAAGGAAATTAAAAAAACAAGCAATCTGGATTGCTGTGTTGAGCTGACATCACTGTTATTATCAGTGATACTGATACACAAATAAGGAAAAACACAATTTTTTCCCACTGAAAACACACAAGAAAAATGTGTTCCAACTGTAAAAGGAAAAAATTCATAGGACAAGAAATCTTATTTTCAGGCTTTTAAGTGAGAATTACAAACAATGTAATTTAAGAAAACAGTGTGGACTGATTTAAATCAAAGTGAATTAAATCACAGATTTTAATCAGCAAGAAGAAAATCTGGATTTAAATCAATTTTCATCTTGTTTTGAATTTGAACTTTCTTTATTTTCTTAAAGACAGGTTGGTAACTATTAAAACATAATATTTAGTTTGCAACTAAATATAGCTTTTACACTAAATTTGATACTTGTTTTTGCTAACCAGGATACTTTATATCTAAACAAATTTATGTAAGCAATTATATAGCATAACATACCATCAGATCCTTAATTTTTGCATTTTTTACTATGTTAGAAATAATGAATGACATTTCTTATTTACTAGATGATTAACTCTTTTTTACTTGTGATTTGTATCACGCTGTATTTGGATAGAAATTATAATTCAATTACAAATGTACAAAACTATTTTAAAATGGTTTGATAGCTAACTCCAACTACCTTAAATATGTTGGATACATAATACAAAGTTTATCAAAACATATTTTGCATTTAAAACTAACTGATTTATTAAACAAAGGAAGTATTATCTGCTGTTTGTGAACTGAATTAATTGTTTCTGGTCATCAAATCCTCCACAATTTTAGAACTAGTATAGCTCATCCTCTCACACCTCATAGCTTGGAAGAGAAAAAGCAGCTTTCCTGCTTTTTCAACTCCTAATCTATTTTTCAACTTCGATTCAACTAGTCATTAAACTGAACTAGTGGAATAAACTGAAATGACGAAAATATTCTCCTTGCACTTGCAGAAGAGGGAACTGCAGTCAAAAGCTGGTTTAGCACTTCAACAAACTTTGGTTTCAGGTGCTTAACCAGTGACTTTCATCAGTTCAGTGGTTTGACTTTCTTTAAAATTTTGGCAGCAAACATGTACTGCTTGATTTTTTTAAATATAATTTTAACAACTTTAACAGATTTTAATAAATTGAGGCCATAATAGAGGATGAGATAATTTCAAATTTAATTTTAAGTAGGTTGTGTTTGAAAAATAAAAATGTATTAATTTACATTTTTTAGAAATCAGTTTTTTTTTAATTGACTTGTATTCAGCCTGTAAGAAAAGTATTTAAAAACTGAAATAATGAAACTATACTCAGATCTCTCTATTTAGTTTTCTCTAAGGCTATCCTGTCACTGATATCTAAACTAGATAGTATCAATTTAAAATATTTGTTCATATAAGGAGAAAATTAAACTTCAGTTGATATACTATTGACAGATTTATTTTCAACTTTTCTGTTTTAGTTGCCATATAACAGTGGCTCTCAAACTTTTTTTACTGGTGACCCCTTTCACACAGTAAGCCTCTGAATGCGACTCCCCCTTATAAATTAAAAATACTTTAAAATATATTTAACACCGTTATAAATGCTGGAGGCAAAGCGGGGTTTGGGGTGGAGGTTGACCCCCATGTAATAACCTCGCAACCCTCTGAGGGGTCTCAACCCCAGTTTGAGAACCCCTGCCATATAACATTTAACACAACGTGGTAAAATTACTGGAGAGAAACATTGCTCTGATAGTCTTCAAGCTAATAATATTGAGTGCAAGGGTGCTATGTATTCAACACTGGATCTATATTATGTGCCAGGCTCCTTGGTATCTTTGGTGTGTGGAAGAATAAAATTCTACTATTATGGCATGGAAAAATTTGACTACTATGGCATGCAAAAATGTTCACTGAATTAAAAATTAAAATAACAGTCAACACCATTATACTGTACTTAGTTCAATAACAATTAGAATGTTTATCCATATATTTCATACAGTCACAAAATTTACACCTTGCCTCAGAATTCAGGGCTAACAGATACAGATATTGGAGATACAGTAGAAACTCAGCGTTATGAACACCAGAGTTACGAACTGACCAGTCAACCACACCTCATTTGGAACCAGAAGTACATAAGCAAGCAGCAGCAGAGACACCTCCCTCCTCCCTCCCCAGGCAAATACAGTACAGTACATATACAGTACTTAAACATAACCTACTAAAAAAAAAAAGGAAAAACAGCATTTTTTTTCTTTTGCATAGTAAAGTTTCAAAGCTTTATTAAGTAAATGTTCAATTGTAAACTTTTGAAAGAACAACCGTAACATTTTGTTCAGAGTTACAAACAACCTCCATTCCTGAGGTGTTCGTAACTTTGAAGTTCTGTAATGGGAGCTTGTTTTAGGATGTAAGTCCAGTGTGCCACCCGCAGAATACACTGTTCCACACTCTGCTCCCCTGGGTGCTGGTAAGGCAAAAAATCCGTTCTGCTGATGGAACGAGATGTTGTGGCTCTCTTTCCCCTCTTACTGGTAAATGAGGTAGATGGGGGAGGACTCCGCTTACTGGGAGTGTGTCATCCATCAACCTGGCTTCTGGGAGGAAGTTATGAAATTCTCTTTTACTTAAAAGCTAAGTGAAGGAGTTTGTGTGGGCTCTTCAGTTCCCACCCCTGCAGCTGGTGACTTTCTCTTCTGTGTATGTGTGTGGGCAATCTTATTAGCTGATCTCTTGCTGTCACTCTGAATTCAGTGATTTTTCCCTGTCCTATAGGCGCAAGGAAGAATGGGGGTATTGTGACTCCCCACTTCCACAATCTGTCAGTTCTTCCTCTTCTGGATCTGTCTGATTTGTACAAAGCCAACCATCCTCACTCTGCCTGGTGAATGAAATCTACAGTGAAAGTGGCATATGTGCAAACGCACTGTGACATTTAGGTTTCCTACAAAGGTTTTTTTCCCCCACAAAGAAATTAAGCTTCTTTTTTAAAATATTTAACTAATATTTCTATCTATTTTTAGAATACCCAACTTTTTGGTTACCTTAAAAGACTGGGAGAAGAGGATTTCCGATGAAGGCTGCCAAACCTCAGACTCTTTTTTGGAAAAAATTCAAGGTCCACAGCTAAGATGGAGCAATAATTGTAATAATCAGAATCTCTGTGATGAAATATCAGAAGAAATCATGTGAGTTTTGTGCTTCTTGTGTGGGGTACATGTCAAATCTTTGACTGTGTCCATATGGTCCTGTTCATGTGGATTTTTATCTGCTTATTTTTTTGTATCTCACTTTATGCCACAAAACAATTTTATTTTATTTAATTTCAATAAAATCTGTTTCGATTAGGTGGAACATTAATGTTCATGGTCTAGTTTTAAAACACAGGCACCTCGACAACACAACCAGATTCCCTACTTGAGCATTCAGCTCACTCAGTCATAAAAAAATGGTTCAGTTTGAATGTCTAAACATGAAATACCCTATGAGGCTATGAAGACACCTGCAGTTTAAAAACAAAATTCATGTGGTCAGGCATTTAACAGGGTAAACATCAATGGTAAAATCCTGATTCCACTGAAGTCAATGGCAAAATTCCTCATGGCTTCAATGGCACCAAGATTTCACCCCTTTTCTTTTCAGAAGTATTGAAACTCCAAGAAAGGAAAACAGAGACATAATCAACATTTCACTGGTTTTCTTCATCTCTATATTTACTGGTGAATATTTTCATTCTAAACTTATCAAACCAGTTGGGCAACCTTAACTAACTTATGCAGCTGTAAATCTTACTTTAAAGGACTATTTTACATTACGAGCCTATTTAGTGTCATGCAGCATATATACGGTAACTATTTTATTTTGCTGTTTCTTAGGGAACAGCACCTACCTAGTGCCATTGCACAGTACAATGTTAACAACAACAGTAATAAAGATGAGTAAGTACTCTACAGTTTCATTATAAAGTTATTTGTATTGTAGAGAATAGTAAAAAAAAAGCAATATACCTAGTTCTTTCCTTGCAAATTATTGCATCATACAAGTAATCCCATAAGGAATTTCATGTACATCTGAACTATATGCACAGCAAATGTTTTTCTAACACAAGTTAGTAGTGTCCTATTTAATTATGTAAAAATGGAAATAGTTGAAAACTATAAACAAAGGTTTTATTCAAAGGCCAAAATCTTAAGTATAATATTAGACTTATAGAACTCAACTGATTTTAACAGGGAAAATATAGTTATATGTATCCCAAGAGCCTATCACAGAGATATTGTTTCTTTTTTAGAGAAAAAAAGAAAAAAGAAAAGAAGAGGTAAGACAATAATATTGCATAGTTTCTTTACAATCTTCTACAAGTTATCATTCTAGTTTTTCTATAAAACCATAAAATTTTAATCCATTTTTTCAGCAAGTCTGATGGTAAAAAGGAAAAGAAAAAGGACACAGAAATGCAAAAGAACAAGGAAAAACACAGAAATAAAGATAAGCATAAGAAGAGAGACAAGAAAGAGAAGTAAGTGTTCTTAATTTGGTTTCAGAATAGTGCTATGTTCTTCTAGTAAGATTGCTTTGCCTGTACAATTGAATCCAGTCATGGGTATTTTGCAAGCATGTTGTGTATGTTAGCCCTAGATAAGTGAATATGCTGACCACTGTTTGGTCTTGTCTGTTCATGAAGTTGTTCCTGATTAATTCCATGTGTGAACACTCTTATTCTAAAATAAGAGTGCCTTGTCTCTGTTAAGCTTAAATCCTAAACAGGAACAAGGCACACTTAGGCTTACGTCTACACTGCGAACCTTATAGCGGCACAACTGTGCCAGTACAGCCACGCCGTTATAGTTGCTTCTTGTCGATAGGAGAGAGCTCTCCTGCCAACAAAATAAAACACCCCAATGGGGGGCGGTAGCTTTGTCATTGGGAGAGCATCTCTTGCCAACATAGCGCTGTCCACACTGGCGCTTTTCTTTAGTAAAACTTTTGTTGGTCGGGGTGTGGGCTTTTTTGCTATAATGTAGCCTGCTCTATGCCGAGGGGAGAGAACTCTTCTATCAGCATAATTAAATTACCCCCAACAAGTGGCGGTAGCTATGTTGGTGGGAGAGTGTCTCCTATCGACATAGTGCTGTCCACATTGGCGCTTCTGTTGGTGAAATTTATGTTGCTTAGGGGTGGTTTTTTCACACCCCTGACCATGGGCAGCACATAATGGAGGCTGGGGTAGGCCAAATCTCCCCAAACCTTGTGCCACCGGGGGTGGGGGAGCAGGGGCAGATTACCACATGGGCCTATAGAGCCCATGCCCAGGGCCCCAGCCAATTTGAGGCCCCTGGAAAAATCTCTCCCCACCATGGCCCTGGGGCTGGAGAAGATCTGATTCCGTGCTGCGGCCGCAGAGCTTTTCTGGTCCTGGGGCTGCAGCAGGGTGTGTTTGGAAAGGAGTGACCTGGGGGCAGGGCTTCGGGGGGAAGAGGCAGAGTGGGATGGGGGAGTGGCTGAGAGTAGAACAGGGACAGGGCGGCAGGGGAAGGAATGGGATCGAGGAGGGGCTTGGAGCTCCGCCATTGTGGTCCCTGGCCATGAGGGAGGAGCTCTATGCTCTCAGCCCACCTTCTGACCCTGACTGAGCTCTCAGCCACTCCCCTGCCCACACCAGCCAGGGCCACGAGGGGGCTGAGGAGTGAGTGGGGCTGTGGCCTTGGCCGAAAGATGTGGGGCAGGGTGCTAGCCTCCACAAGGGGAAGCTTTGCCAATGTCCCTGACCGACAAAAGTGCTAGTGTAGACCTAACCTTATTCTAGAACTGGAGCATCCAAGTGTGCCTTGTTCCTTTTTAGGGGTTGAGCTAAACAGAGACAAGGCACTCTTATTCCAGAATAAGAATGTCGATACATGAAATTAATCAGCAAAACTGCATGTATAGAATCCCTTATGTATAGACCAAGCCCTTTATGTATTTAAATTCTTCCATCTGCTTAAGTCAAGCCATTTTCATAGCTGTTACCACTCCTTCTGCAAGACGGAGTGTTACTGTTCCACTTAACAGCAAGGTGTAATTTCAAATCAAATGAAATTTGAATATATATTATATAAATTTTGGTAACCTGTTTTAGTTTAAAAGTCTAAATATCCCAGTACTGTATTTTCAGAATCTTGATAACTTTACGATTACTAAATTCAAGAGTGAATAGATATTGGTACACGGAGACACATGCAGTAGATCTATTAGGGTATGTCTACACTACAAAATTAGGTCGATTTAATAGAAGTCGATATTTTAGAAATCGATTTGATACAGTCGATTGTGTCCCCCACTAAGTGCATTAAGTCAGCGGTGTGCGTCCACAGTACCGAGACTAGCGTCGACTTTCAGAGCGTTGCAGAGGTAGCTATCCCACAGTTCCTGCAGTCTCCGCTGCCCATTGGAATTCTGGGTTGAGCTCCCAATGCCTGATGGGGCAAAAACATTGTCGTGGGTGATTCTGGGTACATGTCGTCAGGCCCCTCCCCCTCCGTGAAAGCAACAGCAAAAAATTGTTTCTTGCCTTTTTTCCTTGGTTACCCGTGCAGATGACATACCACAGCAAGCATGGAGCCCGCTCAGCTCACTGTCACTGTATGTCTCCTGGGTGCTGCTGGCAGGTGCAGTACTACACAGCAGCATCCCCTTGCCTTGCCTTGCGGACGGCAGACAGTGCAATATGACTGCTATCCGTCGTCGTCGTCCCATGGGTGCTCCTGGCCAACCTCAGTTAGGTTGGTCGAGGGCGCCTGGGCAGACATGGGTGCTCCTGGCCGGCCTTGGTGAGGTTGGTCGGGGGCGCCTGGACAAAAATGGGAATGACTCCAGGTCATTCTCTTCTTTAAGTTTCGTCTAATGGAGATTCAGTCCTGCCTGGAATATCATGCCAGCTGGAGGTTTCTGCCTCAGGCTGCTCTCTCACTCGGCATCACCACGCGGTCGCACCTACCCCAGCCTACCCCTTGCTCCCATGGCTCATGAAGCCTGGACAGTAGTAAGGAGCAGTTCAACTATAGGCTAAGCAAGTGCATAATGGTGGTAGAATGTGCCTTTGGACGTTTAAAAGCTCACTGGTGCAGTTTACTGACTCGGTTAGACCTCAGCGAAACCAATATTCCCATTGTTATTACTGCTTGCTGTGTGCTCCACAATATCTGTGAGAGTAAGGGGGAGACGTTTATGGTGTGGTGGGAGGTTGAGGCAAATCGCCTGGCTGCTGATTACGTGCAGCCAGACACCAGGGCGGTTAGAGCACAGCAGGGCGCGCTGTGCATCAGAGAAGCTTTGAAAACCAGTTTCATGATTGGCCAGGCTACGGTGTGAAAGTTCTGTTTGTTTCTTCTTGATGAAAACCGGCCCCCTTGGTTCACTCTACTTCCCTGTAAGCCAACCACCCTCCCCTCCCCCCTTTGATCTCTACTTGCAAAGGCAATAGTCATTGTTGTTTCAAATTCATGCATTCTTTATTAATTCGTCACACAAATGGGGTGATAGCTGCCAAGGTAGCCCGGGAGGGGTGGGGGAGGAGGGAAGCACAGGGATGGGGTAGTTGTAGGGGCACCCCCTAGGATGGCATGCAGCTCATCAAGTGAAGCGGCATGTCTGGGGCTCTGACCCGGAATGGCCGTTTGCCTCTCTGGTTCTTTGGTAGGCTTCACACGGCACTGCTGTGGGTCCCTGTTATAACCTCTGTCCTTCATGCCCTTGGAGATTTTTTCGAATATTCCGGCATTTTGTCTTTTGGAATGGAGTTCGGATAGCACGGATTTGTCTTCCCATACAGCGATCAGATGCAGTACCCCGTTCGGTCCATGCTGGAGCTCTTTTGCAATTCTGGGACTCCATGGTCATCTGTGCTGATCAGCTCGCTACACTGGCCAAACAGGAAATGAAATTCAAAAGTTTGCGGGGCTTTTCCTGTCTACCTGGCCAGTGCATCTGAGTTGAGAGTGCTGTCCAGAGCGGTCACAATGGAGCACTCTGGGATAGCTCCCGGAGGCCAATACCGTCGAATTGCATCCACACTACCCCAAATTCGACCCAGCAGGGTCGATTTTCAGAGCTAATCCCCTCGACCGGGAGGAGTACAGAAATTGATTTTAAGAGCCCTTTAAGTTGACAAAAATGGCATTGTCATGTAGACGGGTGCAGGGTTAAATCGATCTAACGCTGCTAAATTCGACCTAAACTCGTAGTGTAGACTAGGGTTAATATACCAGGATTTCAGTAAAGCATATGATATAGTTCCACAGGGGAAATTAGTTAAATTGGAGAAGATGGGGATTAATATAAGAATCAAAAGGGGTGTAAGGAACTAGTTAAAGGGAAGATTGCAACAGGTCATGCTAAAAGGTGAAATGTCACACAGGAAGGAGGTTTCCAGTGGCGTTCCTTAAGGATCAGTCTTGGGTCCAACCTTATTCAACATTTTCATGAATAAAAAGTGGGAAAGTGCTAATAAAAATTGCAGATGAGATAAAGTGGGGGGGGGGGCGTACTGCCAATATAGGAGGAGGACTGGAATATCATACATGATTTGGATGACCTTGAAAACTGAAATATTAGAAATGGGATAAAGTTTAATAGTGCAAATTGTAATGTCATGCACTTAGGAGGGAACAAGAAGAATTTTTGCTATCAGTTGGAAGACCTGGGAGTACTAGTTGATCAGAGGATGACTATTAGCAATGAATGAGATGTGGCCGTGAAAAATGCTAATACAATCTGAGGATGCATCAGTTAAAATATTTCCAGGAAAGATAAGAAAATGTTATTACCATTATACATGGGACTGGTAAGACCTCATCTGGAATACGGTGTACAATTTTGGTCTCCCATGTTTAAGAAAGATTAATTCAAAGTGGAACAGGTGCAGAGAAGGGCTACTTGGAAGTTCAGAGGGATGGAGAACCTCCCTTATGAGAGAAGACTTAAGGGGTTTGGCATGTTTAACCTAACAAAACAAAGGCTGAGGGGAGATATGGTTGCTCTTTATAAATACATCAGATGGATAAAGGCCAGGGAGGGAAAGGAGCTATTTCAGTTAAGGGCCAATGCTGGCACAAGAACAAATGGATATAAACCGGCCATCAATGAGTTTAGACTTGAAATTGGACAAACTATCAGAAGTTTTGGACCAACCTTCAAAGGCTAATGTTGGAAAAATCAAGAAAGAAAGACTAGAAGAGTGGAGAAAGGAACACCAGTGGGTAGGATATTAAGAGGAAAGACAGTATCAATACCAATTATGCTAATTGTCAGATAGGCGATACCAGTAGTAGAATGACTGTACCTACTCAGGAATCTGGGTGAAGCTAAGCAGGAACAACTAAGATGTCTGTGCACCAATGCAAGGAGCTTGGGTAACAAAATGGAAAAACTAGAACAACTGGTGCAGGAAGTGAAACCAGATATTATAGGGATAACAGAAATATGATGGAATAGTAGTCATGACTGGAATACAGGTATTGAAGGGTATGTGCTGTTCAGGAAAGGCAGAAATAAAGGTCAAGGTGGTAAAGTATTCACAGAAAATACAAACCTATACACAGTTCTTATAGGTTGGCAAAACTGTTTTATTTTTGTTGTGTACGTTTTACCACTTTGTGTTATCACTTACCTTTGCATGTGTTTTTACTGTTGTATTGTATATAATGAATGTACTGAAATTTCTCTGCATGTAGTGTAAAGAATAATTGAGCCAATTTCTGGCTACTGTTGTGTGAGTGTGTAAAGGGGGAAGAGAGCACCTCCACTTGCTCATTTGTGCAGGGGGTAGCCAAAATTGTGATCCTTGTGCTCCTGAGGGAGAGTAAGAGAACTACCAGACATTCCAAAGGAGGCATGATGGAGTATGGCTATACTCTTGCTCCTTTTCACCAGTAGTTGGACAACCAGGGTGAGTGGTGGGAGAAGTACCTACTGCACCATTAAAGGATGCGGTAAATGCTGCTCTAGGGTGCACTGTGGCAGTACCCTCGAACGGTATTTTATCCATTTGTGTTTTCCACTGGCAAAATGCCTCCAGGAACTGCAACTGGTGCAGTGTGCAATTATACTTATTATGGAAGTGGCTACTAATGCCACTCTGACTCTTTATTGTTTTACATTTATCTATTAATTAGATGTATACAAATGCTGAAAAGGGCACCTAGCTATACACCTAAAAGACAACAAAATATCGCAACAGAACTGAAGTGAAGCAGTGCAATTCAGTATGATTGAGCACCAGCAAACCAACCAACTTAAGAACTCAAACTCCCTTCCCCTCTGGTCCAGCATTACCCTTTTTTCAAATACCTGGGGAGTAGAGAGGAGCTTTACGGTATGCTCTGAAGCTCATCAGATTCAGGCTTTCCTGAAGCAACGTGGGGAGTGAATTCCAAAGCTGTGGGTCCCTCACAGAGAATGTCCCATCAGCAGCCCAATTTATAATACCAGACTTCAGCTCCGGCACTTCTGCTGTTCTCCGCTATGGTATTTTAGCATGAGGAGAGAAGTGGTCTCTCATGTAGGTAGCTCCTGAGACCTAAATGTTCACTGGTCAAAACCAATTCCTGAAACTTCACCTGAAGCCCTACAGGCAGCCAGTGCAGAGATTGGAGCACTTGTTGTATAATTATGCTCCTAGTGAGATCCTCCACTGACCAAACAGGCTGCTGTATTCTCCACAAGCTTCAGCTTCTGGATGATTTTAAGGCACAACCTGATATCGAGTACAGTGCAGTAATTCAACCTTGAGATGATAAAGACAGGGATGACGGTCACAAGGACTGCATCCAAAAGGAAAAGGCACATTCTCCTGAGTACAGAAATGATAAAAATGTGATTTGGCTTTTGCTGCTACCTGATTTTCTAGTAGCAGTTGGAAATCCAGCCAGACGATTGCAAACCTAACTAACATGTAGAAGAGGTGCCCTAAATTAAAAGGAGAGGTATTCTTGCCACATACTTTTGGAGAGAAGCAACAAGAATAGGACCACCTCAGTCTTGACTGGGTTGAATGTCAAACATCTAGCTGTCATCCATGCTCCAATTTCACACACATACTAAGCTCATTGAGCATTTTAATTGGTCACATGAAATGGTGACAAAGCCACATGTCATCAGCATACTGGATATCATGCAGTCCTTTTCTCCTTATTAGCCCTCTCAGTAATGTCACACAAATATTGAACAAGAGGGGTGATAAGATGGAACTATGCAGAACTTCATATAAAACTTAATCACCACCCTTGTGAAAACCCACTGCAAGGATGCACTGGGGCCACAATAAAGCAGCCTCATCCACTCATATTAGGATCCAAAAGTGAGTTAACAGCACCTACAATGTAAAGAGTCTTGTTTTTCTCTTAGTGTCACACCCCAATGGCTCCCTCCCTTAGGGAGTCCCCAAGGATGGCAAATTAGCATTGTATGTGGCTAACGCTGTTGCAAGCATTGCAAAGCATTTTGGGGAGGGTCAAAGGTGTGTGAGTGGGGAGTGGAAGTTTTTTTAGCAGGTACAAAAAGCCCCCAAAAAATAAAATAAAAAAAGGCAAAAAACAAATCAATTCACCGCTCCAGCTAGCTAAATCCAAAAATAAAAGCTGGCCCCAGCCAGCCTGCCCGTTCGCCCACCCAGGGACACAGCTCACAGCCAAGGCTTGACTGTGAGCCAAGAAAGACAGGGGCTTAAACACTTTCCGAGCAGCTGTAAGAAAGAAGAATCCTACTGACCAGACCTGCAAACCGGCAAGGTCAACCAAAAAAAAATAACCAGCAAAGTATAAAAACACAAACAAAACAACAAGAGGGGGGCGCCGTGCCGGGCGTCCCTGGAGCCGGTATGTTTTGGGCAGCCAAAAAGGCCACAGCAAGCCAATTGGGACTGGTACAAAGAGCACCAGGCACAGAGGGCCCTAAATAACACCACCCCCAAAAAACCCAGGACTTAAAAACCCTCCTGAGAGCTGGAGCAATTCGGAACACACAGCGGATTCTTGGATGACCTGGGCCCAGGACAGCACTCCCCGTCCACCCCTTCCCCCCTTCTTCTAACGTTACACCTAGACTTGGCCAGTCTGGGTTATGTGTGGTATAAATATAAAAGTAGGTTAAAGCTTGGGGCATTAATGCTTTCTTCCTTCCTTTAAATAACATAAAAGCATTTCCAGAACTCTCCGCTGTTATTTTATTATTTTATCAATAAAGCTTTAAAATTCAAATACATGGTGTGCCTCGTCATCTCCTCCCCCCAAAAAATCCTGTAGTCCCAGCCTAATCAACTCTGGGCCCAAGCAAATTAATAATGAAAATCTGTCACATTAGTATGTTTAGGCATTTTACTTTGTAAATAAATAGAATTTGGGGGGCCAGGAAGAATGTAAAGCAATGAAGTGCTCTAGGTTCCTTAGTTTCTTTTGCAATCCTTTGCAGTGTTTCATCTTTCACAACCAGTCTTAGACTTCCCTAATACTGAAGGCATGATCTGTTCAACGCATTCAAATACTAATGGCCACATAGCCATTTTCCTTCTGAAAAGATGAAGCAAAGATGCTTTGTCTCATTTATTCTACAAAGAAGAAAATTAACTTGGTGGGAAACAGATTATTTTGAAAAAGGTTGAAACTACATGTGTCACTATGACTTTGTGTTGAAGCCCGCCAATTTAATTTCCCTTGTGTCCTAGGTTCTAGTATCCAAATCATGTTCACCAACTAGTTTCTTATCCAGGAATTCCAGCAAGGAGGCTAATTTGAATTTAAGGGTGTTCTTACACAAATGAACTGCCTACTAAACTAAATGACCAGCATATGTTAGTAACCATGGAACATCTTTTGTGGTTCCTAAAACCCATTTCCATTTTTATAAGTTTCTCACTAATATTCCCTTTCCTTTCTGCTTACTGCTCAGGGAGAAGAAAGATCTTTTTGTTATTGATCCATCAGGAAATTTGTATTATTACTGGCTGTTTTGCATCACATTACCTGTCATGTACAACTGGACCATGATCATTGCTAGGTGATGTATAACAGTGTGCATTTTCCCCTATCCTCTCTTTCCCCATTAAAGTAATGAAATCCTCATATCTGGTTGCCACAAGGAAAGCCTTGTTTTTATCAGATAGAATGGATAAAAATAATGTATTGACCCAGTACTTTTACTGTGTTTATCCTTTCAGTCTGGTATTGAATACAGTCTACAGACTCTTAGGCTCAATAGCAGAGATCACACACATTTATTTACAATCTCTAAAGTTCTTTCCATCATGTCTTTTGTCCAGTTCAATAAAGGACTTTCATTAACTTAATTTCATTATATTTTTCAGTCTGATGCTTCAATATTTTATCAGTCTTACGCTGCCTGGTAATGAAATGCATATACATTAATTGAGGTTTGGCAAAATTATAAGCAACATAAAACAGGATCTTATAAAGGAAAGTGTTAGGCAATCTTAACCATTGGCATAGCTATCAGCTCCACCTACAGTTACTCAAATTAATTTTTCTTAGTTAAATATTTTAAAAGATCCTTATAATCTGAGTTGTAAACATTTTCTGAAAGCAGATCTGAAAACAGGTTTTTCCACAAAGCCTTTAAAATATACTTTGTAAATACTTGTTTTTATGTTATAAAAGTTTTGATAAAAAATATTACATTTTCCAAAGTTTGATCAAGCATGACAGAGATCCTTTAAAGAACACATAAAAAAAATTGTAGGGCCTCTGAATATATGGCATATTTACTGTATTAATTACTGATCTCATTGGGACTATTTCAATTGTGTACTTTTTTTCTTTTCCGATCCAGAGCCTGTTTTGATGAACTTCAGAACGACCATTTAGGAATGTGGCTCATTTTTGATTATATATCAGATATAATCTATATTGCTGATATGTTTGTACGGACAAGAACAGGTAGATGTACTCACTGTTTAGTTATCTACATTTATCTGTGTTAGGACTTTAAGGTGCCCATCAGTATATGATTTAGGGGCCAAATGCAACAATTAAAGAAGAATTGGCCCTCTCCTGGAATGGACCAGTTAAATTGACTCTCCAGTTACACTTTATATCTATGAAATGATGAAGTAAAGAAGTATCTTGCTGGCAATTTTCCCTCAATAAAGGAGGCCAGAATGACTTCACACTGAAATATATCTTGACATACAAGGTCATCCTGATTTCTAGCAGAAAGGAACTGAAGTCCTTCCATTGCAAACATAATTTCTGCAGTTTTAGAGTCACACTTCAAATATTTCACAGACACACACACTTGTTTATATTCTGTGATGTACTTCATCATGTTTTATACATCAGACATAAGTTTATCTGTAATCTACTTTAGTGTCCTAATTTAAATGTTGCATAAAGCAGAGACCAATCCAGCAATCCCTTTTAGGCACAACTGCCATTGAAATTCAACGGGAATTTGCCTGAAAAAGGAGGGCAGTGTCCAGCTGCTTATGCTAAAACAGGGCTTTGGCAGGAAATGTGAAGTGGTATATAGAGAACAACATTATACGTATGGCAGGGATGTGCTGATTTGTATTCGCCACTGACAAAACTCCTAGAAAGCCCCAGTCACTGAAACTATACTCAAACTATATATACTGCCTAATCAAACTAAAGCTAGAACTTTTATCTTTTTTCCCTTTGTTATAAGATTTTATAACATCTTTATAATTTTAAAATATCTTTGTAATCCAAGCTGTAAACATTTTCTAAAAGAACAGAAGAAAATCCCTAGGGAGGAGGAACCATTTGCCCTCTTTTGTGGTGAATCCCTGGTGTGCAAGGGGTCATATTGGTGGAGGAAACATAAAATTATACCTCCTTACCCCAGGTGTAATGAACATAGCTTATGAACTGCAAACCAGTATATACCATGTGGCTAAAACCCTGCACCACATTTATGCAGTAGTAAGGAATATATAAACCTCTTGCCACCATTTAAGCCAGCTGCAACCTTTGCTGGCTGAACTTGAGAACCACATAGTACAGGACAAGGCAGAGAATCCACTTGCTCTCTGTACGAGTTAGAATCAAGATTTTCAAAAATGTGTTGTTAAAACTAGGTTCCTAATTCCATATTTAAGCACCTAAATCAGAAGCCTGATTTTCAAGAGTGATGAGCCCCCAGCAGCTCCAGTTAGCTTCATTATATTTATGCATCCATTTTTACAAATCTTACCCTAGGAGGAGAGTTGTTTGGGGGTGGGGTGGGTGAACAAGGAATGGAATGCACATGCATGAGCACTGTCCTCACTCTAACTCTCTCGCTCCCACACAAGGGCCATGAAGGTTACTAGGTGCTAGGGCAGCAGAAACCATAGCAGGAAGAGGGTAGACTTGGGAGGCTGTAAGTGTGACACTTCCACCATGGGTGATGGTTCCTCCCTTCAGGATTTCCATAAGACTCCACGGAGCCCAGCCAGGCCAGGCAGTACAGGCTCTGCTTAATCAAGTCGTCTAGGTCCAAGATTTGGCCCCGATTGCTTATCTACAAAAATTCAACATAGGGCCTTAAAGTTAAAATCCAATTAAAATATATAGCTGTTAAAACTATGCATCTTGATAAAAAGATGGAAAAGTATGTATGGCCAGAAACTCTATAGCCAAAATAATTTTAAAGATTAATTTGACATTCACATATAACAGAATGCAATAGATGATAAAGCAACAAAAAAGTCAAAGTCAAGAATTTTAAAGATTTTATATTTTATTTTAGGTTACCTGGAGCAAGGTCTGTTGGTGAAAGAAGAACTTAAACTTAAACAGAAATATACAGGAACTTTACAATTTAAACTAGATCTACTGTCAGTCATACCAACTGATCTACTGTACTTTAAATTAGGTCTGAACTATCCAGAATTAAGAATAAACAGAGTACTTAAAGTATCTCGTATGTTTGAGTTCTTCCAGCGAACAGAAACAAGGACAAACTATCCAAATATCTTCAGGATCTCCACTCTTGTCATGTATATAGTGATTATTATTCACTGGAATGCGTGTGTGTACTATTCTATCTCCAAAGCCATTGGATTTGGGACAGACACATGGGTCTATCCAAACACCTCTGATCCTGAATTTGCCCGTCTGGCTAGAAAATATGTATATAGCCTCTACTGGTCGACGCTGACCTTGACCACTATTGGGGAAACACCTCCTCCTGTAAAGGATTCTGAGTACTTCTTTGTGGTTGTTGACTTCTTGGTTGGGGTGTTGATCTTTGCTACTATTGTTGGTAACATTGGTTCTATGATCTCCAATATGAATGCAGCCAGAGCAGAGTTTCAAGGAAGGATTGATGCTATCAAGCAATATATGCACTTTCGAAATGTGAATAAAGAAATAGAAAAAAGAGTTATTAAGTGGTTTGACTACTTGTGGACAAATAAAAAAGCAGTGGATGAACGAGAAGTTTTAAAATATCTACCAGATAAATTAAGAGCAGAGATCGCAATCAGTGTTCATTTGGACACATTAAAGAAAGTTCGAATTTTTGCAGATTGTGAAGCTGGCTTGTTAGTTGAACTAGTCTTGAAACTGCAGCCTCAAGTCTACAGTCCAGGAGATTACATCTGCCGAAAGGGGGACATTGGACGAGAGATGTACATTATCAAAGAAGGTAAACTTGCTGTAGTAGCTGATGATGGAATTACACAATTTGTGGTTCTAAGTGATGGCAGCTACTTTGGGGAGATTAGCATCCTTAATATCAAAGGCAGCAAAGCTGGCAATCGAAGAACAGCCAACATTAGAAGCATTGGATACTCAGACTTATTTTGTCTATCTAAAGATGACCTCATGGAGGCTTTAATAGAGTACCCAGATGCAAAGGCCCTGCTGGAAGAGAAAGGTAAGGAAATCTTGCTGAAGGATGGGTTACTGGATATAAATGTTGCAAATACAGGAAGTGACCCTAAAAACATTGAAGAAAAGGTCATTCAAATGGAAGGAGCAGTGGACAACTTACAAACAAAGCTTGCCAGGCTGTTGGCTGAGTATGATGCCACACAGCAGAAACTGAAAAAACGACTGACACAGGTTGAGAAAATACTGAAATCAACTATGCAGTTTGAATTCTCAGATTTAGAAGAATTAGATAAATAAATCTGGAGTGTCAACACTAGAATAAAACACTGGGGACTGCCACTAGCAGTTAAAGATAAATCCTGCAAGGTACCGAGTGCCCTCAACTCTTATCTTTGATGATGTGGCCCTTTATTATAAGGTATTACTTAGTCAAGAAACATCACTTGTTTCCTATTAGGCAATACACATACACAGTAAACGTCAAGAAAAAAATAAGATGAAGACTCAGGAATAAGAAAGGAGCATAAATATTATCGTTTTCATGCTAGGAAATGCTACTCAGTCCTGGCTTGCAGTTATATTTATGAAGTACATACATAAAATTAGTGTCTTGATATTTAATCTCAGTGAAAATGTTACAATATAAACCTATCAATCATTTTGTCTTTTACAATTGTATGCCCTTCAGGACAAGGACTGTGTATTTGTATTTCCTCTGTATTTTGAAAATAGCTGGTATATGTTAGGCCCTAAAGCAAAATAAATAATAAATATCGGTAATATAAAATGTTTGCTAATGGGTTATTTATATTATCCTTTATGTAACGTTGTAAAAACAAGTGCATTTAATCTACATACTATAATATGTTGATAGTCATGCAAAGTTGTACTGCATATTATAATTTTTTATAATTTTCTTCTCATTCACTATATAAATAAAGAAACATTTGGTAACATTTGTATTGGTTATCTGAAATCTGCATAGGTATACCGTAGAACCTCAGAGTTACGAACACCTTGGGAATGGAGGTTGTTCATAACTCTGAAATGTTCCTAACTCTGAACAAAACATTATGGTTGTTCATTCCAACGTTTACAACTGATCATTGACTCAATACAGCTTTGAAACTTTACTATGCAGAAGAAAAATGCTGCTTTCCCTTTATTTTTCAGTAGTTTATGTTTAACACAGTACTGTACTTGTTTGTTTGTTTTTGGTCTCTGCTGCTGCCTGATTGTGTATTTCTGGTTCCAATGGAGGTGTGTGGTTAACTGGTCAGTTTGTAACTCTAGTGTTCATAACTGTGGTTATACTATAAATGTAATATGGCCTTTAAACAAGCTCTAACCTCACCAACCTCATTGTCAGAAGCAAGCTCCCCACAGACCAGGACACACCAACTCAAAGGGGCACCACACCCTGCCAGTAGATGTACAATAGATGTAAAACCCAAAGACATATTTCCACAGCTACAATGATCAATACCTCCCACAACACACCTTTCAAGGTCCCTGGGTCCTATACATGCCTATAACAACCTGTGGTGGACCTCATCCAGTGCATCAAATGCCTCCAAAACAACTGTGGGTGAAATCAGACAATTACTACACTCTCAAATTAACTCATAGAAAAAATGATAAAAGACAAAAATAACATATCACCCATGAGCAAACACTTTTCACAAAGCAGTCACTTCATCTCTGACCTATTAGTCCTCGTCCTCAAAGGAAACCTGCACAACTCCTTCAAAAGACATGTCTGGGAACTTAAATTCATAACTTTGCTGGACACTAAAAATCATAGTCTAAACAAAGACACCATAATTTTACAGCTCATTACAATAATTGTCACCCACTAACCCATGTATTTAGCTGTGACACTCTGATTATCTTTTGCAGACCTGAAAAGAAGCTCTGTGAAGCCTGAAAGTTTGTCTCTTCCACCAACAGAAGTTGGTCCAATAAAAGATATTACCTCGCCAATCTTAATTTTGGCATTTCCTAACTTCTTAGTGCTTGGCTTGGCAACCTTAAAAAAACCCTATAGTAAAATAATATTATGTAGTTTATTATTTATATTGCTGCAGCACTTACAGGACCAAGTCCTATTTTGCTAGGCACTGTACAAGCATTTCAGAAACAGATTATCCCTGCCTTGAATGGCTTACTCTAAGAGTCTAATTAACAAAACTCACAATTTGAAGAAGGGTATGAGATGTTACCTACAGTAGGGCAATTTGTGGTTCAGTGGTAGTAACATGAAGCAGCTGCCAGATATCACTGTTATGGTGTTGATGTGTTTTAGTGAAGAAAAGTGGATATCTATTGGAGGGCTGACCTTACCATGAGGCAAACTGAGGCGGCCGCCTCAGGTGCCAGACTCGGGGACCGGAGGCGCCACTAGGACCCAGAGTGTAGAAAATTGTGTCTGCTGCTGGTGCATATGTATTCTCTCTGCTCTAGAGGCACAGAGATGGTGGAGTGCTGTGCTGGAGGAAGGAGGGCACAAGACACATAACAGGCAGGCAGGAGAAAAGGTTAGAGGGAATAACAGAAAGCAGCAGGAGCTAGCCTACAGGGAGAGAGAGGAGGAGGAGCCTCTTATGTACCCCTCTAGCACCCCCAGGAGCCTGGACTGATTAACACGAGCTTCTCAGGGAGCTTCCTGTTTCCTGCTGCTTCCCTGAACCCTCTTGAGGAGAACAGGCAGTCACGTGAATTAGTAGGAGCCAGTTAGGCCCTTAAGATGCTGATATCTTCCCTCTCTCAGGCCCAGCTACCACCCTGCTTATTTGTCCCCCTTCAATTGAGTGTTGAGAGCCACTACAGCTGGCACAGAACAGCAGTCATGAGTGAAAGAAGAAAACGCCCCTCTGGGACAGCATTCAGAAAAAGAAAGAAAACAAAGGAAGCTTTTCTATCTAAGCAGGAAGGAGCTCTCCTGAGATACACAGAAACAAATGTTTACAGTGAGCCTTCCGGCCCCAGTGAGGATGTGAGTGGTGAGGAGATGCCTGACCTTCCAGTTAGTCAGAGTGCAGGTGACCTGGCAACTACTGCAGCATCCATATCTCCATCTCAAATGGATGTAACCATGTACCTTCCTGAAGAAAAGTGTAGATCAGAGAAGAGTGTGGTGGAGGCGCAAGAAACAGCTGCTGCTGAGTTTAGTTCCTTAAGTCTAGATGATCCAGGACTATGGACTCACTTGAGCAGTAGTCTGAGAGACTTCCGTGTACTGCATGGGCCACAGCAAGTGAAAAACTTCATGTTTCCCAATTGACAATGAAAATAGAAGTTTTCATCCAACACGTTACTGTTGTGAAATCCCCAATGGTGACAAAGTGGAGATGCCATGGCTTATGTACTCAAAAACCCAGAATGCTGCATACTGTTTTTGTTGCAAACTCTTCCAGTCTAATGTTCCAGCCACATTGGGTTCTACAGGAACAAAGGACTGGAAAAATCTGGCTAGAAATTTGGCGTGCCATGAGAAGGCAGCAAATCACCAGAGAGCATTCCATAGGTGGAAAGAGCTTGAGATGAGACTAAGGTTAAAGGCCACCATAGATGATCAGCATCAAGAGAAGATTGCACCAGAGTCTCTTTACTGGCAAAATGTTCTGAAAAGACTCATTGCCATTGTGAGAATGCTTGCTACCCAAAACCTAGCACTGCGTGGCACTTCAGATCAGCTGTATGTACCAAACAATGGAAACTTCCTTAAAATTGTGGAGCTGATGGCTGAGTTTGATGCTGTACTCCAGGAGCATCTAAGAAGAGTCACAACCCAAGAAATGCACACACACCACTACCTTGGAAAAACAATTCATAATGAGATTATACAGTTATTGGCAACAAAAGTCAAACAGAAGATTGTGACAGATCTGAAGTCGGCAAGATATTACTCTGTTATTCTGGACTGCACGCCTGACATCAGCCATACGGAACAAATGACTTTAATGGTGCATTTTGTAATAACAACAGAACCTAGTGAAAATGTCCCTGCAGTGGTGACTGTCAGAGAGCATTTTCTAGAATGTATTGACATTGCTGATACTATAGGAGCTGGTATGACAAATTTGCTTCTTAAAAAGCTGGAAGATACAGGAATTGCGAAAGCTGACATGAGAGGTCAGGGCTACAATAATGGTGCCAACATGAGAGGAAAGAACAGAGGGGTGCAGACACGGATCCAAGAGTTAAACCCTTGAGCTTTTTTTGTGCCATGCAGTTCTCATTCATTGAACTTGGTGGTCAAATACAGCATCAGCTTCTAGTGAGGCTGCTGAATTTTTTAATGTAATTCAAAGCATCTATGTATTTTTCCCTGCATCAACTCATCGATGGCAATTTTTGAAGCAACATCTAGGAACATCCTCTCTGACACTGAAACCACTGAGTGCCACATGATGGGAAAGTCGAGTGGAAGATAGATGATGCCATAGTTGCCATTATGGAGGATAATGCTGTGACAGGAACTGTACATGGGAGAACAGTGGCAGAGGGAAATGGAATCACCAGAAACATACATAACTTCAAATTTCTGTGTGGCTTAGTGTTGTGGCATGACATACTGTTTGAAATAAATGTTGTAAGCAAGAGACTCCCAGGTGTTGACCTTGATATATCTAGAGCAATGGAACAACTGGACAAAGCAAAGTCATACCTACAGTCTTACCCGTCAGATGAGAGATTTCAAAACGTTCTGAAGAGTGCACAGAAGTTGGCAGAGGAACTTCACAGTGAAGCTATTTTCCCACCCATTCAAGAATACAAGAGCCACCAAAGAAGACGACATTTTGATTACGAGGCACGGGATAATCCTGTAAGAGACCCCAAACAATTCAACGTTGAATTCTTTAACCAGGTGCTAGATTGTGCAATACAGTCAGTTGAAGAACGTTTCATGCAGCTCAAGGAACACAGCAGTATATTTGGGATGTTGTATGATATTCCAAAACTCCTCACTATACCTGAAGAAGACCTACACCAGCAATGCAGGGCACTAGAGACAGTGTTGAGGGGGGCATGGGGGCGTCATTTGAGCTCCCCGCCTCAGGTGCCAAAATGTTGTGGGCCAGCCCTGATCTACTGTCATAACCACAATTTTTGGATTGTTTTAATTGGCCCATCAGGCTGTGACATCAGTAATGACCACTAGATGCCACTGTTGTTAAGTGAACAAATTTTTTTGACAATAGAAATCTTGAACCAAAAATCACTGAATGCAAAACAAAATGCTGCATTTCTAATAGAAACACCAAATCATATGCTGGTGTATTTCAGACAGATAGAAGTTTTCTAATGTAAAATATTGAATTTTTTAACTTTAACAAGCATGTATTTGCTAAAATAAAACTATGTTTAAAGTTTTCTTCTGACAAAGTAAGTACTTTGAAATAAAAATGTAGGGGTTATGTATACACCCCAATCATATTAAAATTCTTCCACATTGTTTATCTGTCAACATTTTAAAAAATGTTTTAAGTTTCATGTTAAAGACACTGTAGCTCTTGTAAATCATGCTGTATTTTCTGAACATCCTAAATCCCTCAATTCTGCAAAATTTTAAGTGTATGCATAACACTACTTCCGTGAGTAGTTCTGCTGAAGTCAACTGGACTTTGTAGATGAGTCAAGTTGTGAACTAGCTTCAGTATTTGCAGGATCAGGACTTAGCAATTTGGGTTCTAGTTTGGTCCATTCTAGACACAGATCCCACTATATTCAAATGTGGGTTTGGATTTCAAAGAACCTGGCAAAACTGGAGTGTTTTGTTTCAGAATTCTCATCTCCAGAATTTAACATTAAGAGTGAAGCAACTGTCAGTCATAAATGTATTCAAATTTAGGAAGTCTTGTGTATTTAATAGATTAAATCTATGGTGTATGAAATAAATATCTACAGTATTGCAACAACTTTTAAGAACTTGTCATTGAAGTAAATCCCATTGATTACAAACATATTCTTCAATTCCTGTTTTGTGAAGTAAAAATCTTCTCAGACATTCTTATAGTGAAGTTGCTGAGTATGGATAGTGGTTGCTACTTTAATCTCACAATAGACTAATTATTTATTAAATAACATGTTCAAACCAAAGCCATGTGGAATTAAAGAGGTAAAACATCTAAAATAATGAAAAATTGTATATACTTAAGTGACATTATAGACAATTACATTTTATTTCAAATTTTATTTAAGATTTTCTGTCCTGGGTTAAAAATTCTTCCAGTTCCTTTACTATAACTGACAAAGACTGCACTGTGTACAGGGTTTCTACCTAGATTGTAATCTACTCTGTTTAAACGTAACAGTTCAGTATGGCTCTTCTTTTCTAGCCATAACTCAGAACACCCTGACTTACTGGCCTGACACTTAAGATTTTTTTTTCTGTCCTCTTCACATATGTCCTGAATTATTCCAGTAAGTAGTTTTCATTCTTTTACTTATAGGGCTTATCTACATGGAGACTTGGGGCATGTCTACACAGCCCCGCAGTTCAAGCTCTGAGGGTGTGAATAGCAGTGAGCACCAGAGTGCTGTGCTGTAACTCCCCTGTGTAGAGGCTGTGGGCACAAACTTAAAGGTTCTTCGTTCGCATTCATATAATCCTGTCTGAAGAGGATTAAAAAATCATAACAAATTTTCATACTTAAATTTGGGTCATTCCTATTTTAACAATCCTTCCAAACAGACATAAAAAAACCTCCAAACAGCAATGCCTTTCCCCCAATTTACTCTCTTTATAGATAAGGGTGCATTTATTGCCTCAACAAGAATTAACAACATATATATGTACAGCAGAACTCAGAGTTACGAACACCTCGGGAATGGAGGTTGTTCGTAACTCTGAACAAAACATTATGGTTGTTCATTCCAACGTTTATACAGCTTTGAAACTCTACTATGCAGAAGAAAAATGCTGCTTTTAACCATCTTAATTTAAATGAAACAAGCACAGAAACAGTTTCCTTACCTTGTCAAATCCTTTTTTTAAACTTTCCCTGTTTTTTTAGTAGTTTACATTTAACACAGTACTGTACTATCTTTGCTTTATTTCTGTTGTCTTTGCTGCTACCTGATTGCGTACTTCTGGTTCCAGATGAGGTGTGCGGTTGACCAGTCAGTTTATAACTCTGGTGTTCGTAACTCTGAGGTTCTACTGTAATATCTTTATGAGGGAATTTCTTTCAAGAAAAAGTCAGCATCAGAAAAGTAAATACACATTAGCACTGAAGATACAAGCACGCTTACCAACCAAAGACATCTACTATTTACTTGCCAAGAGGTTATACATGTATTTTGCTGCTTGTAGAAAACTAAAAACAAGAATCCAGTCAGGCCTCTTTACAAGATGATCCTTTGGCCTTGGCTACACTTGCGAGTTACAGCGCAATAAAGCAGCCCCGGGCGCCCTAGCTCACTCCCCATCCACACTGGCAAGGCATGTAGAGT